ACCTGCTTGATAATTATAGTCACAGCAGTGTGGGTCTCGGTTGCTAGCTGCTTTCCCTAACTGCAAGAGCTGGCTTTTTTTAAAAGTTCCGATTTCTAATATTGAGTTGTTGGCCAGTATCTTGCCTGTTAATGAAACTAGAGTCTGATGCAGTCATGAACCTAATCACAAGTTTCAGAAGCTTACTGTATAGATGAGGCTTTGCGGTCAATAACCTGGAAGCCTGCTGTCGAGGGAAAGAAGTCTTAGGCCTCTTGGTGCTCTCTTTTCATTTACAGAAATCACAGATGAGGACAACAGCATAGCTGCCATGTACCAGGCTGTTGGTGAACTGCCCCAGGCCAACAGAGACACATTAGCTTTCCTCATGATTCACTTACAGAGGTGAGTACAGCAGAAACTTTTTTCGAGGAGTTAGGGAATTTTCCAAGGGGAAGATAATGTGGGTTGGGTTTTAGGGAGGGAACGTGAGTGATGGATTGTTTTCTTGTAGAATTTATATTTTGGTCTGTGTTTAAGAGGAGAAACAAGTGTTCTAATTTAATGCTCTTTTGCTTAGAGTGGCTCAGAGCCCAAACACTAAAATGGATGTTGCCAATCTGGCTAAAGTCTTTGGCCCTACAATAGTTGCCCATGCCGTGCCCAATCCAGATCCAATGACAATGTTACAGGACATCAAGTGTCAACCGAAGGTAGGCAAGCATGTATATATATATGAACTTGTGTAACATAACCTGAGAGACGAGTGAGAGGTTAGCCCTGAGCTTTTGGAAGTTTGCTAACATGTTTGGTGGTTTTTAGGTGGTGGAACGCCTGCTTTCACTGCCCCTGGAATACTGGAGTCAGTTCATGATGGTGGAACAAGAGAACATTGATCCCATGCGTGTCATTGAAAACTCAAATGCCTTTTCAACACCACAGACACCAGATATTAAAGGTATGGCGTAAGTTGAGCTTTTTTTTTTAAACGCCTGCTTTCTGCCCCTGGAATACTGGAGTCAGTTCATGATGGTGGAACAAGAGAACATTGATCCCATGCGTGTCATTGAAAACTCAAATGCCTTTTCAACACCACAGACACCAGATATTAAAGGTATGGCGTAAGTTGAGA